CACTTTCTTTTCTGTCGAGTTGATTCTTTTCCAGCCTCGGTGGTTTCGGAGGACCATACATCCGTTGAGTATTATCGTGTTTAGATATCGCTGTACCTACGTTGTGCATTAAATCTGGTAATGGGTTATCCTTGTCTTCAATCAATTGGGGCATACTTTGCGTCCTATGTTGGCCGTGAGTCGAGGTTTCTGGATTCCTTTGCATCCAATTTCTATCCCGATTTTGTGTACTATTAATGTCTAGTAACGGAGCGGAGGGCGGACGGTGTACTTGAGCGCTTACTTGGGAATGCATTACAGAATTTTCTATTTCATCCATACTACTTCCTTTTTTGGTAGCGTTTTGGACTTGGTTTCGTAATAAACATATTTTTAGGCCAGTGCAGAATGATTCGAAAGTTAACAAACCATCATGTGAAGCTACCTTCTGTAAACTTTCAATAACACCACGGGGTAAACCTTTAGTACGATCGTCGCGCCAACGATTTTCAATATCCGTAAGTTTTACACAGCCCGTATGTTTATCGTCCATTATATCAAAAAGTGTTCGCATAGCTGTTACGAACTGCTTAGGCAAGGACTCCATTTTAGTGCATCTAACATGACTCAATGTTTCAACTTTATATCAATTTAAGCAGCGGTCAACGGTCGCTACTAAATTAAAACAACAGTCAACTATATTAACCTAGTTTCAAAATACACTTAGTTACACTAAATCAAAATTTATGTAAATCTTTAACAACACAAATGCTTACAAAATCATTACTAAAAGTTCTAGAATATTATTAACCAGTTAAGTGACCGTTTTTTGTCACATGTGAAAAAGTTAGAACATTTGTTGAACTGTAAATACGTACGATGTGTTAGCGAACCGGCTTCACTGTGGGAGTGATTTTGCGGATTGTACGAGAGCGGGAAAACCGGTCGGACAGCATTTCGGTCAGGTAGGGACAGAATCATTGCTGCACAACTGATTAGAAAACTTAGTAATTTTGTTCTAAAATCAATTGATAATAATTGCAAGTGTTATGGGCTCTGCTACTCAACCTTTTATATTTAAGCGTGTCTATTTGGATTGATTGATAGATTTGTTAGTGCAAAACAACATACCAAATATCGCAAGATAATTTCTAAGATTATTCATAAATATATCATCAATAAAATACGTATATTATGTGCAGAGACCAGCGATACTTACAACTAATACAAGAGTACACATTTTTCGTTCAAATTAAAAAATATGTACATAACATTTATGTATGATAGTAGAATAATTCCATTTAAACATATTAAAAATAACTGATAAAATCGGCATACTATCGGTTTATTTCTAAAGATATATTATGATATCAATTTATTATGATCGCTTCTTGTTTAATTTTTCGCGGATTTTTTAATATTCGTGGTGTTGCCAGTTTAGTAGATTTTTAAGAAATATCGAATCGGTAACAATTAAAATCTCACAAGACACAAAAAATGGGTAATAACATTAAAGGCCCTAACATTTTCAAAAAAGACGAAAGATAGCAAAAATTTATCCTAGGCTTACATATACAATCACATAATACATTATATATTATGTATTACATAATACATTGATATTCATAAACAAAGGAACAAGCAGAGTAGCACAGGCTGTGCGATAACGACGGTTAATACTGACTGCTGTTGATGTTTAGTTTAAAAACCCAGAAACCTAGGTAAAAAATGAAGTAAAATTGGTAACACTAGAAAAAGTGTGATAACGTGACGTACAAAATGTCAAACAAACGTAAATCAACGAAACTCGACCACTTGTTAGAATTTTAGAAATCGAGATAATTTTAAATATATTTGGGGTAGAAGAGATTTGAATACAATAATTTTATGTTACCTACATGATGTCTACAAATCAAGATAAAACTCACGATGTTATTGAATCTAATGGTAATTTGAATAAAGAGGAACCTCGGAAAACTTGGGTGAAATTCGATGATGAATCTCCACAAACTAATGGTCACCAATCTGACGGAAAAATATCAAATACTCCAAGTACTTCACTATCCGTCCAGCAAGAAGTTCCTGCAGTTTTAAATACGGAAACTGTGCATGTTAATTTAGAAAGAGGAGACAGGAATCTCGAAAATACATCACATGGAAATCTCACTAAAAATGTAGAATTCGTGAACATTCGTTCTGGTTTTTGTAAGTTTTTATTTTGACTCTCATTTATTAAACTAAAATTTTAGTAGAAATTTTACTTTTATTGATTTTAAATAAATGTTTTTAATATATATGTGTCTTTCAAACTTTTCGTACGATAATTCATTTTAAAGACATACAAATACATTTAATATACATTAACAGTTTTATTTTACTTTTCTGAATACCTCAATGATTTTCTGAATGTATCAATAGATTTCTGTTTAAAAACTTTTAAAATTCGGTGTTTGCGCTTTATTACTTCAAACTTTTGCTCACTAAAAACGGTTCAATTCACAGCAAATGGTGATCTTCTGGTAACAGTGTTGCCTGTAAATGCAAGCTGGCCTTGGATAACTGCAGCAAGATTTAGACCTGAATTAGTACCCGAAGAACTTATGGCTCAAGGTTTAACAGTAAGTATAAAAAGGATTATTTTTCTATATTGTTGCAAATTTTACTTAAATAATATTTGTACTGTTAATAACTTCATTATTCTTCTCAACAATTGAGTTACATATAAATAAAGTGAATATATTTGGTTATAGTTTTGCTTTAGACTGAGAGTGTGTTTGTTTCAGCTAACTGTTGAAGAATATGTACATGCGATGGAACTCCTTGTAAATGATGCCCGTTTTACATTGTACAACATCTGTTATAAACGGGTCCTTGTTTGTTGGATTACATTAGCATTTGTGGTGCTTTTGTCTCTTCTCTTCTCTGGTTTAACTGGCCTGACACTTTTTTCACTTGGAGTGTTATGGTTGATACTCAATGCTATGGCCATATTCCTCTGTATGTGGATCAAGCTAAGACTATCAAAGGGCCTGGAGCAGTGCTTGGGTAGTGTTAACAAGTTACTCACTAAGCATAATTTACTACTGGCTTTAGATGACAGAGGAAAAATTTCATGCCATAAAGTGAATTTGTGTTTTATATATTTTGATTCTGGTCCATGTATTGCTCATATTCAACAATTTATTGAGAGTGAAGAAGGAAAAACTATCATGCAAGGATGGGAACAAAGACTTGATGTAACTGTCAATGACATTGTTATACAAGGAAGTCAGTCTACAAGACTCTCCAGGAAACAGGTATGGTTTTATATTTATTTATTATTTAATAAGTGTTTTCACGTTACAACATTTATTTTACTAATAGAATCTATTAATAGAAGATTTTATTTTTCAAGATATCAAGGTGACATCTAATTTCTATTTATCTAGTGTTTTTGATTAGTTTGCCAAGGGTTTTGACAAGGAATTGCCAATGGTTATTTAAGTATTGGTTAACATTATGTACTGCAAAGGATTGTGCTAATCATCTTTAAAACACATGCACTAATAAGATATATCTCAATAGAAATGTTTATTAAATAAGAATTGAAAAAAATAATTAAAAACATGAACACCAATTGAAGTGAAATAGAATAAAGCCTATAGAAAGTGTTTTACAACATAAAACACATTTTTATTCTATGTGCAATGCCATATCCTTAACATTCTTCATAAGGGTTATTATATTAACTAGTTAATTGCTATAATTATTTGCTAACCAACTGGACTATCAATGGTAGTAAAAGTTTTATATAATAACATGGTGTAAGGGCACTCTTATTAAACTATTTTTTGTTAGTTATCTAATATCATTTTGGAGGTAATACATATAGTTAAGTGTGGTAAAGGTGAATTATTTTTTTTTCCTTAAAAAACATGTAATTATGTTTCTAGTATCAACATTTTTTATTAATGCTTGCATTTTGTAATACTAAAACAAATATTGTAGTAGTTTCAGTTGTATATTAACTTTGTGTTTCCCATCTCTAAAGGTGTCCCAAACAATTTTTTACTGCATAAAAATAACTAAACTTAGGATTCTCTAAGGGTAAATCCTATAGTAAGTTTTATTTGTTAGTAATATTTTTTAAACTAATTTCTTTTAGTTAAATAAATTGTGATGAAATCTTTACATTGCTAGCAATTAAGTTAGCCATTTTAATATTATCTATCATAACCCATTTATGAATATTCAAGAACATATGTTCTTGTAAGATACAGCATAGATATCAGTTTAGAGGGTTATATAGATAGAAGACAATTCCAAGATAAAAATGTTGAAGTAGTTCAGTTTTAAATATTGACAAACAGATATTGAAAAATATCTGTTTGTCAATATTTAAAACTGAATAATGTGCACGTGCAAATACAAGTATGACTTGCAATGTATTCACTAAACTGTGATTCATATCAATGCAGTAGCTATTCCGTGCGTTTGTTTTGTCGCCGAGACATTGCGACCGACTAATAAAACCTTGATGAGTACGACCTTGGCGACTTGGTTGCGTTGAATATTAAGTAAGCTAAGCATCTGCCGCCCGTTTCGTATTACTGACCATTAATTTATATATATTTCAGGATTTTGTTCTGCTAGTTTATATTCAACAAAGCTGGCTAGTGACTATATAAATGTAAAGAAAAATATGTTTTTCCTTATAGATATTTCTTGAAACTTAAAAATATCAGCTTACACTCGTCATGTAGGTAGTGATATATTATGAGTCACAACTGTTTCTAAATCTTACGTGAATGTTTTACTTTAAGCATATTAATACGACGACGATTTACATATTCCTAGATTTGTGTAATCTTAATGTTTATATTTCCATGTGAAAGATATACCATATGTGATTCCACACAGTCAATGCCTCCCTATGTTACTTGGAATCGTATAAATGTCGTCGCTGAAGTAGAGCCGTATCAATGTTTTCAAAAGGGTTTTTACAAATTATGAGATATTACGTAATAATATACACGTGTATTGTACTGTAAGAGTCACATACTTTGTTTATGTTCGTACTACCAGGCTTGCTGATGGAAAATTTACCTAACATTCTTGTCGCCTCTATTAACATTTTCCTAATATGGGTGGTCTAAAAGCTAAGAGAAATATAAAAGCATATCCCAATAACGTGCTAATAATAATTTAATAACATATTCTAATATTTTTATACAGTCCTGCATGCAAATTAACCGGTTCCAATATATGTTTTTGGTAATAAACACCTAATATAAATATGTATGTATGTAATGTAGAGGTGGGTAA